ATTAAACTTAATAAATGTCATATTTATTACATGTAATAACTTTCTATAACTCCATGTATATTAAGTAAAAATTACTTCCTTGATATTAAAATAGTTATCGTTTTACTCGTTTCAAAATAAATAGGTGAAAGAAAATAATAATTTTATAAAATTAACCTTATAATTAATTTTTTTTGTTAGAAATGATACAATATAAAAATCTCTTCCTATATAATATTATTAGGTGTATAAATGAAAAAAATATATAATTAATAATGCTTTTAAAAAATAACATAATACTTATTTTAAGACTTATTTTTTCTTCTAATATAATACTTATTATGTGATGGATGGAGTATTATTAAATGAATATTGTATTTACTCCCTTTAGTTTTGAGTATAAGCAACAAAAATACATGTTTTTTAGTCTCAAATATAAGTAAATGCTTAAATATATTTTTAATCCTTCGTAGTATAACAAATTTTGTTTGTAGTCCCTCATAAATTTAACAAACACTTAATCTCTAATTTATATTTTTGTTAATATGATTAGTTAGTGCAGTTAAGTTTAACCATTATATCATTGATGTGATAATGACTAAAGCACAATCCTTCATTCTTTAATCACCTAAATTTCATCAATTGGATCACAATTCTACTCCCTTAAAAATCTTTCATTTTTCAAATCCCTAGATTCTTTTAATTCAATTCTTTAATCCTTTCAAAAACCTTTATTCTTCAAATTCTTAAATTTCTTCAATTAGATCTTAACTTCAATTTTTTCCTCACTTTCCTTTTTATTTTTCATATTTCCAATATTGATTTTAAAAAAATATTATGTAATTAACTTCAAAATTCATATAGTTATTTTGTTATCATACACATATGACAAATTACTCACCATACTAGAACATGTAACAAGTGTCAATGTATCAAAATCATTACCATGTTAACGATTTAATGATTAAGCACAACTGTATGGACTAATCATATTGATGAAAATATAAATTAGGACTAAATTAAAAGGTTTGTTAAATTATGGGTACTAAAAACAAAAATTATTATCTTTTTGAGAGACTAAAATATATTTAAGTCATAAATAAATTTTAACTAATTAAGTTTACTCTATTTAATGTTACTATCTCCAAAATCCAAAATACTCCTTCATTTATTTGAGATTGTATTTTCAATTATCCTTTTTATTCTTAATAAGAGTTTCAAGTTTCAAGAAATGGTAGTTTAAGAATTTAAGTTATTTTTTAAATAGAATTTGTGCAATTAATGATATTAACTCACTTTCTTAGTTAGTATGAATCATCTTGCTTATGTTTAAATACAGAGGAATATTTGTTAAGGATTTAAATGGTTATGCAATGATAGTGTAAAATAAATAGGAAGTATTAAAGCTAATTAATGTCCCTAACAAAAACAAGGAAACTTGAACTTACGTGGAAATTCAAACAATGCTTACACTAAAAAATATATTGTCATATAGTGATACAATATTTATAACTAAAAACTACTTTTAACTACACTATAGATATAATGTGTATTGGTATATTGTTAAAAGTATATATATAAACTATAATGACATACAATATATGTTATTGAATCTCATTTAAAATTAACACTAAAATTATATATAGTTATATCTCAGATAAATCTATAACTATATATATTATATTTATAGTGACACTTTTTACACATCATTACATGTAACATTTCTTGTAGTGTTAGCATTACTGGTGGTTCAAAGTTTAAAAAAATATATAATTTAATTAGTAGCAATGGAGGTTGTGAGTTTGGTTATGCTTTAAGGAAAGGGTTTAATTTAGTTAATTAAAAAAATATAATTAAATTTTAATTAAAATATATTTATTTCATAATATTAAATTAAATAAATTAAACTGTTTATTCTAAAACAAAATAAAAAAAAGGAAATAAAAGTACAATACTCATGTCATTATCTATTGGTAAGAAAAATGTAATTTACACTTTAATATTTTATAAGTGTTGAAATCTCACATCCATTAAAAATAAAGTCATAATAATGTATATAAGTGAAGAGTAAAATGAGAATCAATTTTATAAAATTGAATTATATTATAATCCTACTTTCTTCATAATAAAATATGAATTAATGTCTAAACAAAATTCATAACTTCATTTATACTATACAATTATAAAACATTCTATAATTATACAGGATATATATCGATGAAAGTTACTCATCATATAAAACTTTGTACAAGGGGTAATTGGAAGTATAATTATGATAGTTGCATGTCCATATTATAGCAAACCGAAGGTTGGTTGACTTGGTTCTATAATAAATATGATTATAATTAACTTTTAGCGTAAATATATATACAAGAAAAGATGAATCATTATCCTTTTTTAGAGTATAGTTTTGATATAAAAATGAAACATTCTCCTTTAGCTCAATGCTAAATGATGATTTCTAACTCTTTGCTTTGATAAAGACTTGAACCAAATGCATGCAAAGCACTAATGTTTGCTCGTGAATAATCAATCAAATACTTTTTTGACGCAAAAGCGATGCATTTTGTATTCACTCATGGTTGGTCCCCAACTTTCAATAAATAAATGACAGATGGTGAGAAGTGAGAACAATTCCTAGCTTCCATGTTAGCATATGTTGTTCTTTTCTTGCTTTGGATAGATCACACTCACGAACCTCGAACGTACTAATTTGGATGTTCTGGATTTTTTTTCTTTTCTTCATGAAATTGTACTGACACTATTTTATTATCATTTACAATAGTTTCTTTTACAAGAGTCACACTTTGTAATATTTTTTAAATAATTAAAGAAACTAATATAATATTTAAAATGTTAATGTAATGGTTTTAAAATAATTAAAAAATTATTGTAAAAATAGAAAACTAGACAGTATTTATACAATTTCACCAAACTTTAAGAAGTGTTTGTGCAATTTAAATTTTTATATAGTGAAATTCTGATTTTTTTTTTTTGATAATTGTAGACGTTACTAATAATTGTGAAGGTATTAATTTGAAGATTGATGTTAGTTGATTGTAAAACAATATGAAGACTGATAAGAATTTATGATGAAATTAAATTTATAATTATTAATAAAATTATTATAAAAATCAAATTTATACATAATAAAATCTAAAAATAATTATATTATAAAATTGTTAATTTTTTAATAATAATAATTATTATATTTTATTCTTTAAAGTACGATTTTTTTACTTTACAGAGTCTTCCCGTTAAAAAAAGTAATTAGTTGATAGTGTTTATATATAACATAACATGAAAATTAAAAAATAATGTAATAAAATTGCTTGCAATTTTCCTAAAGTAACATTAACATACCTTCATTTAGGGATGATACAAACCTTATTCCCACCAATTAATTAAGCCTAAAGCAATTCTTAAATCATTCCGAAACGGAATCATCGGATGAAAATTCAAATACAAAAGGTAGCTATGTCTGAGATGTGCTGACCAAAGCCCAAAGACAAAATACTTACCAAAACAGATGGCAGAATATATAATATATCTATTTTATGAATCAAACCACAAACATTCAATGAATTGAATATTAATTCTCTTTTAGGGAAATAATTGTTTTTATGATCAAAATCAAATTGCATACCTGTTATGGTATTAAGAAATAAGTTGGGTAGGAAAATAACAAAATAATAAAGTGGTAGCTGTCCAAGCATGAACTGCTGACACGTGGAATATGCCGACATCCGCAAACAAAACAAGCAAGCTAGGTCTGACGAATATATCACTTTATTCAGAATCTATACCAAGTGACCATTTAAGAACACTGAGAAGTGCTTTTCTTTTTCTTTCCTATTACTTACTATTTTTAAGTTTAATTACATTTTCATCTTCTTATTTTCTTAATTTTGTGAATTGCATCTCTTAACTCTTTTCATAATATGATTCGTATTGTATTAATTTTTTTAACCATGAGAATGAAACTCTCACAAATGGAGTTTATAACAATTTATGTACTTATTTAATTAATTTTTTTTATCTGTAATAATTAAATTCGTGATTTTATTTTAAAATATTTAAATTGAATTTTACTCAAATTACAAGAGAGAAATAAGTTTTACTTGAGTGAGAGGGAGAAGCTCTAGAATACAAAGAGAAAATGTCTCGCAAATGCTGAGAAAACATATCAAGTTTTTTTAACTTGATATGTTTGATAGCTTTAGTTGATTTACATAAAATAAAAAACTTTTAAAAACATTATTAAGGAGAGTTACTCATAAGCTGCTTAACAATAAAATAATGATTTTAAGTTGCTCAAAATTAAAGAAAATTATTTGTATAATCAATCATTCCTCTTGACTTTATTACCATTGATATGTATGTACATATAAGAATGAGAAAATGAGATGTTAAAGAAAGTGATTGTAATTTAAGTAATTATTTTTTACATGAATTCGCATTAGAATAAAAATTAAGTAAGTTACTTAAATTAAAATAACCTGTGTTAAGTCATTTTCTGAAAATAAAATAAATTGGTAATTTAAAAAACATTGAAGTTACTCCAAGTTAATTCGTTAATAGCTTATAACTTATTTTTTTATTTATAAATTATCTAAAATAATTTATAAAAATAGTTAACTTATAAATTATTAGCTTTTTAATTTTTCTCTTTAACTTATTTGCAATCACTTGTGAACTCAAATAATTAAATATATTCTTTTTATGTAATTTTATATTAATGAGATATCATACGTATCCTATTATATAAGATTCCCACTTAAATTCTCAGATGTGAAAATCTCCACCATTAAATATGTTTACTTAGATTTTCACTAAAATCACACAAGAAGATTCAAATTTATTAGTAACCTTAACAAATTCAAATTTAATACTCGATCAAAATTTTAAAAATAGAAAAATAAAATTTTGAGGAAATTATAAATATAAAGAAACAAAAAGTGGAATTAAATCTTTTCATGTTGTTCTTGTTTTCAATCGCTGAGCATGTGAAAAGACTCAGATTAAGATACAACAAAGTGGCCCACAGTTCTTGACATTGAAAGATACTCTCTCCTCAAAGTATTTTTAGAGCTGAAGGAAACTTCGCATTTCCCAGATCTAAATCCAGACAACCTCATACACTGGAACAAACATCTCACCCCACACTCACCATCTTCAACCTAATTAATCACCTCTCTCATTTATTTTGACTGAACATTGAAGAAGAAAGACATGTGAGTCGTTTTCAATGTTCTCTTTTACTTCCTTCTACAAGGTTGAAGCACAATTATTCCCATTTCAAGAATAGCTATAAAATAAAACCCCTTGTTTCAGCAACCTACACCCTAGTCAGAGTTTAAGTTTTCATGCACTAAGTTTCTTAAAGTTAGCTCCTTTCAGGTCCATTCACAATCTTCTCAGAGAGAAGGAGAGAGATCTATTCATTCGGATCATTTGGGGTGTCAGGAACAGTTACATTCACATCTGGTTCTGAACTTGTTTCAGCAACCTTCACCTGGTGGCACTAACAAAGTGACCCTTTGAATAAGAATCCAAAAGGGTATCTGAGGATCACCCGAATCTGTTGAATTTATCAGGTTCTATGTTGCAGAAGGTGTGCAAGAGATACAGAATCATGGTGAATGGAAATGGTTTGTTTTACCACTTTGTGGGTTTCGCAACGGTGTTGTTGTTTATTTACATGACTTTTGGGGACGTGAAGTTTGGTTTAGAGGAAGAAGTGGAATTGGCCTTTGTGGAGAGAAATGGGACTCAGTTTGTGGTGGATGGGAAGGCTTTCTACATTAATGGGTGGAACTCTTACTGGTTAATGGTGCAGTCTGTGGATGCGTATAACAGGCCAAGGGTGCGTGAAATGCTGAAGGCTGGGGCCAAGATGGGCCTCACGGTGTGCAGAACTTGGGCCTTCAATGATGGTGATTACAATGCTCTTCAGAGTTTCCCTGGCGTGTTCAATGAAGAAGCTTTCAAGGTAGTGTTTTCTGGATTTTTGTTGCATATTGTTTGTGGTTCCTTCTAGTTTTTTTTTTTTTTTTTTTTTTTTTTTTTTTTTTTTTTTTTTTTTTGTTTTTTTTTTTTTTTTTTTTTTGTCTTGATGTCTTTTGTATTTGGTTTTGTTTTTCTATGTTTAACTATGGATGGTGACATACCTAGATTTTGATGAGTGTCCAGTAGTGAAGCGTTGGATATTTTGGCTTTCTTTTGTTTTTGATTTATATTCTGTTTTATGCATTGTCTTCTCAGTTTTTGTTCTTTATCCCTGAAATTGAGCTTGTGGCTGGAGTCTTCCAAAACTAGATTTGTAACATTTTGTGTATGATTGGTGTTTATGAATTCTGCGTGTAATTGCTGAGATTCAACTGGGGCTGGGAATAAACTTTTGCAGAATTTGTGAAGGGGCTTTTGAATTGTGACAAGCGTGTTGTAGCTGAGCTGAATATTGTGAACACGGTTACCATTGTTCTTGGAAAGTGATATAATATCATGTGGTAGGATACAGCCAAATTGAGAAACAGTCTATCTGTGATCTGTCTTAGTAGAATAAAGTTGAAGATTGAATTTGTGTTGTTTGTTTGTGTGCCTCTACAATTGCGCTCGTGATTTAAAGTAGTGTGTCCCAGAATCTACAATTGTGCTCGAGTTATTTCTCATCCTGGTTACTCCATCCTTGTGAAATTCTCCCAAAAATGGTGCTTGTGGTTCTGATTGAAATCGATTTATGATTGACATGCCAAAATTGTAAGCCTTATGTATCCTTACATTTTGAAAATTTTCAATTCATTTTTTCTTTGTACATGCGTTCAGAAGTTTATGACTATTGTCTTGGATATCTGTGTCTTTCTGTATCTACTCTACAAGTCATGCACAATAGAAATGAGAAGAAGAAAAAAATGCTATATGTTGCATTACTACTAATACTTTTGGTCCATGGAGTGAGCAAGTTGTATGTTGTTCAGCATTACTGTATGATGGATGAAAAGTTGAAATTCATGTCGAACTTTTGTTGGGTAACAGGCCTTGGACTATGTTATAGCAGAAGCAAGGAAACATGGAATTAGGCTGCTCCTTAGCTTGGTAAATAACTTGCATGCATATGGTGGGAAGACTCAATATGTCAAATGGGCATGGCAAGAAGGGATAGGGTTAAGCTCATCTAATGATTCTTTCTTCTTTGATCCATCAATCCGAAGTTATTTCAAGAATTATATCAAGGTATGATATGTCTATCTTTTAACTGTCCTCCCCCCACCCCTTTTAATTTCTCCTTATTTGAAGAGTCACAGCTTTAGTGATAACACTTACATAATGATATGACCCTATGATGCCTAAACACAGTAGCCCAAACTTCTGATGTTTGTGCTTGAAGAATTGTATTAGTAGCCCAAACTTTTGATGATTTGCGCTTGAAGAATTGGATAGAGGGTAGACAAGTAGATGACATTATTCATAGATGATCAGACTTAGTCTTAGCTGTACACCTTTTTTTTTTTAATCAAAATTAATTAATATTAACATCCATTTCAAAATTGAACCTAGTGATGGCATTTTTTTGACAAAAAAATGTTCTACCATTGCATTAAATGATAAATTTTTAAATGATATCTTTGCAACCTTGTTTGGAAGCAGAGTCAGATGATCCAATGCAAAAGCAAAATCTTATCTTTTATTCATAACAAAGTAACAAACCTTAATGTTGAAGCTTTATTGACTATGTTTCTGTTTCATTTTGCTTACTCAACTTAAAACGTAGAGTGATTTACACTTTGATCCACGACTCATAACACTGTTGGGCTCTATCAAAAACCATGTTTAAAATAAATCTATATCCATTATTGTAAAAAGATAATTAATGAGACGATTAATGATGAAATTATGGAATTTCTGTATTGCATTATTGCTCTCTCCCCTTTATAACATATGATTGCTGTTTATCCATGCTTGTTTTAATACATGACACTTTTCCAGCTCATGTGGGTCAAAACAATGATTATCCGCAGCCCTATTCCTTCCCTTTACTATTTTTTTTTTTGCTGGCCATTTCAATTTTAGCTGCATCTTTGCACCCTGAGACTGATCTTTAACTCTTAAATAAATGAATTGTTTCCTTTCAATTTGTCTACAGACTATTCTGACAAGGAAGAATACAATCACTGGAATTGAATATAGAAATGACCCCACTATTTTTGGTTGGGAATTGATTAATGAACCGCGGTGCTCAACTGATCCTTCTGGCGACACTCTCCAAGTAAGTCATGTACCTGTGGTTTTATTCTCTCCTTAAAATATTTATTGAAACAGCATGGCAGAAATATTAATGACTAACTCAAAGTGGAAACAAATACTTGACTAATAATTCAAATAAAACTATCCTTTCCTGAATTTTTCTTAATTATTATGATCTCAAATGCTTATTTGAATTTGATATTATTTGGAAGTTGGGGTTGGGGTACTATGAATTTTAGCCATTATTCTGATGTTCATTCTGATATTTTTCTTTTCAGATCCCAATTTGGTAAATATGTATAAAATAGGGAATTTGAAAGTTGAAACCTTTCAACTTGAGTATTTTAACTGCAACAAAATTTTTACTTTTACTTTCCATTTAAATTCATTGAAAAGTAAACCATGGGATATCAGTATCCCTTTCTTTTTCCTGAGTTCAAGATGGAAGAAAACAATAGTGGTATCTGTGATCTGTGTCGCTACTTCGTATATAGTTATGCCTGAGTTTAGTCATATACAGTCTGTCTTATTTGTCATGGAACTACAGGAATGGATAGAGGAAATGTCAGCTTTTGTCAAATTGATCGATAAGCGGCATCTTGTGACTGTTGGCCTTGAAGGTTTCTATGGTCCTAATGACCCAAAAAGATCAACTGTTAACCCTGAAGAGTGGGCATCTAGACTTGGATCTGACTTCATAAGGAATTCCCAAACCCCAAATATTGACTTCACATCTGTTCATATCTATCCTGATCACTGGTAAGCGTTGTGTAACTACTATAGGCCTATATCTGTAGTTTTGGATTTTCTTAGACTCTTGAAAAAGGGAACTAAACTTTAAAAGTTACAAAGAACTACATGCAGAATGGAGGCTTTTCTTCTGAGCTTCTCATGTTTTTGTCTTGGAGTCCATTTGAATATAAGATAAGCGCTTTTGATAATTTTTGTACTAAAAGTAGAGTATTTTTTTAATAGAAAAACTTTCTAAAGCCGCTTCTAAGTTTGTACCCAAACAGATTCCTAGTAATCAACTATCTGAGAATAATTTGTTTGAAATTTGCACCTGAGACCTTTAACTTCTGATAATTTCATAGAGCTTGTTCTTTTGTATTATGATCTTTATTTAACTTCTTTTTTTTTTTAAACCTATGCATAGGTTTCATGAGCAGGTATTTGAAGACTATATGCCATTTGTCTCCAAGTGGATGCATTCTCACATTGAAGATGGTGACAAGGTATTGAACAAGCCAGTGTTGTTCTCTGAATTTGGATTATCAGACATAAATTTTACGTTGTCTGAACGAAAAATAATGTACAAAACAATTTTAGACATAAGCTACAAATCTGCAAAGAAAAACAAGGCTGGAGCAGGTACTCTAGTTTGGCAATTGTTAGTTGGAGGGATGCAGGAGTTGAGTGATGATTTTGGGATCATCCCATGGGAAAAGACACCAATCCCTTCACTATTTGTTGAACAATCATGCAGATTAGCCAAGGCCAAGGGATGGCCTCACAAGAAACCAAGTTATAAACAATTTTGTTAGCAAAAGATGTGCAAATAAAAGCCCTTGATTTGAATGGGGAGAAATATGGGTTCGTTTGTGGTTTAAGACTGCTTATTATAGGTGCATGACTAGTTTTGTACAATATGCTCGGTTTTCATCACCAATGCTAAATTTGATTAGTGGCATATATAATATATATAGCGTGTTAACATAGATTAGATATTATTATAAGCAATTATTTTGAAGCTTCTAATCCACATGAACAGATCCACCATCAAGTCTTTTAAGATTCGAGGAATTCTTTCTTCTTTTTTTTTTTGAAGTAATATAAGTAATGTGAATAAATCAAATTGCCCCGGTTACAATATGCAGAGAATTATCAAATCATTAATCATTTGCAATCCTCCATGAACATGTAAACAAACAGTAGCGAAATTTTGGTTTCATACGAGAATTTCAGGGGTTCATTCTGCTATTTGTTTTCAACTTTCATGACAATTCATAAAACATTTTAACTTCAATTCTCCAGATACTTTAATATCAGTCGAATTTTAAATATAATACTATTCCAACTAGTTTGTCTTCCTAACCAGAGTTTCTTTTAATATTCACTAGGGGTCTATTCTAGTGGTCCGTGTCTACACAAGTAGTTGAATAACCACAACTTACAAAATGGCATTGTAGATGTTATAGTGCGTATAAAATATGGAGTAGTTGGTGAGAACACGATCAAATATGATTTATAAGGTGTGCTTTTGCACTGTCCTTAAGATTTTATTTACATACTCTTACCTAGGTCTCTTAGGTACAACAAAAAATTCCGAGTGTTGTTCACTGAAGAACTACCAAGAGCTAAAACTTAAAACCCAGAAACGAGAACAGTAGAGAAGGAGAGAGAGCGGAGAGAGTTAGCTCTGCTACTAACGTTTTCTTTCTAGCCTTCTTGGTCCATGTTCATGCATGTAAACAGTGACGGATCCAGAAATTTTAAATAGTGGGGACAATACTTATTCATATATTTGTAATATTAAAAATTTCATATAACTTTTAAAAGTATAAAAATATATCATAATTATTTTTTTTATAAGTTTTTATATCTACGATTATGATTAATGATGAAAATAAATTAGGTCAAATTAGATTATATTATAATTTAATAAGGTTTGAACCTAACTTTTTTTAAAAATACATGTTCTAAATATGACTTATTTATCTATCATAGACATTTTTCAAATGTTTAGTTAGAATTACAATCCTTAAACCTACTTTATAATAATTTAATATTAATAAAAACATAAAAATAAATATATTAAATTGTATAAAAATTAAGCTTAATTTATTTATGATATAAATATATTTTTAATATCTAATATAAATTTTAAAATGATAATTTATTTTAAAACATATTTTCTAATAAATTATAAATAGAACATAAATATTATAATATTTTCTATTTTGATTTTTTTTAATCAACGTATATAATCTTACAATCTTTACTATTTTAATTTTTTTTAATCAATATATACAATAAATAGAAAGCAGAAAAGGTAAACATACATGTTGCAAATTT